TGGGAGGCATTTTTAAGTGGTAGCGAAACCCTAGAATCCCCACCCCCCTGGTAGGCATTCTATCTTTCAGTCCGGTGGTATAGGTGTCCTGAACTCTCGGTGGCAACTCCCACATGTTGTCTCACTTTATATGTATCCCTCCAGAAAGGTAACTAGCATGATTTTCGATTTGCTGTCATAAAACACATCCAAGTAGAAACTTCATCCGCTTTCAATTTCATGCCCAAATCAAGTTGCAAAATTTATGCCAACGCCCCAGCTCCTGCACCACTAGAACTATATATCTAATTCACGTCATCAATGCTTACCTTGAATCTCTGAAGCATTCATCCATCAACACTGCAAACAAAGCAATAGCAGTACCATGCTCATGTTCATCAATAAACTGTCCACTCTACTATTGCCGGCTACTAAATGCACCTACAGTAATACCACATGCAATACAAAGGCTGAAGGAGGTAACTGTCGAAGGTCAGCAATAACTACTCAATCATACATTGGAACAAAAAAACAATGCAATTCGCCAAACAAAAAACCATACATAGCTGACATAGCCTTCTTACCACCCCCATGTGTTATGTTGTGTCATAGTACAACCACCAACCGACTACCGGTCTGAAAAAGTGCCCCACGTGAGACGTGTACTTAGTCTGTTCAACCCATGTGGTCTGTAAAAAGTTTGTCTTATTGTTTGTGTTGGTTCATTGGCATTTGTGGGAAAATACATATTGAATCAACCACATACTTAACATGGTCTTGAGTGTCAAGAACTCAAGATATGTGGACAAATATTGTCTGGGAAACCTCGAATCTTGAATCCCCTGACAAGTATTACTTTTACCAGTCACTCACCCATATCATTAGCCAAAATACGTACTGTAAATACATATCTAAAATATACATAATATGCGTGTATGTGTTGCACCCCACTTTATAGAGATCATGCACAAACACATGCCCGAAGAACCAATCTGAAACAATCAAGAAATGAGTACATACAAATTTTAGGCATCGACATCCCCTTCGGTTCTTGAGTTCTTCGATGTCCCCCCTTGAGATGGCCCGACACTCACCAGGGTCACCTTGTCACTGCGAAAACCTCGCCCAGTCCCAGCCCGAAAACGTGCCTCGCTGTCCACGTGTTGTTTTTGCATATTTTTTTATGCTGATTGTATGGTGCCAAGATTTGAATGGCAGCTATTATAAGCCGATTTCAGCTTACGTTTCCGCAAACTAGCTAGTAACATCTGGTAACTATCGCTACTTCCTGAGTCTGAACTGGCACAGTACTTCTGTAAAGTCGACATATTCAACCTTTCTTTCAGGGTTTCAACAAGTGGCTATGACTATCTTGACTCTATAGTCACGCCTCTCGGCCATACCATGCCACACAGCCAGAGCTGCCCTGAGACGTTGTTCTGTCAACTTCATGTCGCCCGTGGCACTGGTTGTCAACATGATGACAGGAGTGAACAGTACCAGTTTTCCGTACTGGACGATTGTTCTATGACAGCCGTACTGCTACTGGTTGTTATTGTTTTTAGCACTGAACAGTAACAGTTCTATGACGACCAGTTTTGATGCTGGTCATAGAACCTTGAACAAGTCAGTTTTCCACCTTGAACAGTCCAAATGTCCAAAGTTCATAAGTCAGTCAAAAAAAAATGAACACAAAAACTTCACCAAACATGGACAGTCCGATTCTATTTTCCTCGCAGCAAAGCCACCTTTTGGAGTCCAACATCTTGTTGGAATCACCCAGCTTCGAAGATATTGAAAATGAACATGAGTCACAAAGCACGCCACAGGTTGGAGGCCATCGCTAGTAGGTTGGAGGCCATTACTACTAGTAACTAAGAAGCTAGTCAAGTGGTGGGTGGAGCTGGTACTTCCTTCGAGTTCGTGTACTGAGTGCCCTCTCGCTTCTCACGGCTCTTCGCAGCCTCTGCGGGCGAGACATAGGAGTCAGTGCCTCGAACTCGAACGGTGCCCCTGGTTAAGCGGCTCTTGTAGTAATCTGACTTTTCCCTGATGTAAGGTGCAGCTCCTTCTCCGCGGGCCAGTGTTTTCGCCGCCGCCTCCGCGCGCTGGAGGTCGGCCTCTCTTTGCTTGGAGTCATCGAAGCGTGGCGAGGGGGGGTGCCATAGCAAAGTCTGGCGAAGGTTTCAGCCAGTAGACAGCAGTGCCGAAGACACCCAAGGAAATCAAGGTGCTGTTTCGCAGGCGTTCTGCAAAGCTCAAGCCACCACTCGTGCTCGGCCACGGGTTGGGGTCCCAATGCCTGCGATGACGCTGGTGAGAATGATGGGAAGCTTGTGCTGAGTGAAAGTCGTGACTGTGACCATGTCTGGGATGGCTGCGATGCGGATGATGGGCATGAGGACCCTTTTGCATTAACTCCATGGCATGCTCGTACTCATCCTTGAGCTGCCGGAATCTCTCTTCAGCTGACTTTCCCGCCACGTCAGGGTGCAAAACCTTCACTTTGCGGAGGTATGCCGCACGGATTTGGGCCTTGTTAGCAGTTGATGGCAAATCCAAGCGCTTAAGCAGCTGCAGCACCACAGGCGATTTGGGCGACATTGAGTTTGGAATCAGCCATGCCGCATCATCATTCAATCTGCCAGTGATGTGGCACTCCTTAGGAACTCTAGGAACATGCTAGAATCACTGGAACTCCCAGCTCCGAGAAAGCTCATCTGTTGCTAATATCCTGCTACATGCTCAAGTCGGCTGGACCTGGGACTCTCGTGGCTGGACCTGGACTCTCATGTGTTCCTCTTGGACCAGCTGCAGTGCCAAAAGAGACCGAGCCGAGTCGCTCGATTTGGACCACACATCACCCTCTGGGAGGTGTCCTTGTTGCCTGCCTAGCTCAAAAGAACAACAAGTTCTGGCCCTCTTCGGAACACTTTTGAGTATGGCTCCGGAGTTCCAAGCAGTTGTTGCTCAAGTGGCGAAATCGCATCAAATTGAGTTTGGAGACCCGATCTATCAAGGCTATACTCTTGAAGCTGATTTGGTCAAAGACTTGTCCTAGGCTTCCCTGCTCCCAGCGTGCAGCGGACTTGCAGGCTGCAATCCCTGCATTGTACCTCGAGAGAGGCCGAGCTTAAACTCCCTGAAAATAAGTTTGACAGTGAAAAACAACACCTATGAGGCAAAGAAACATGGTCATCCAAAGGGACCATCGGACCCACACTTCCGTGAAAGCTTTCGGGGAGTGTATATATATATATATAATTAGCCCACACGGAGAACAATTCTCCGACCTGGCAACCCCACCGCTCGCCGTTGCACCCGGTAAAAACAACATACGAACAGAACATCATGAATTGAAGAAGCATTCAAGGGAGCTGCCAACTCTCGAGCCTCCACAGCTCAAAGCTGCCCCTCTTGCAAAACTAACTATAGGGGCATTAAGGCCAAGGCCAGCTCACCAGTCTTCCAAACCAGCCCATCAATTCCAGTTTTGCCCTGCAAAAATGCGGGAGCTTCAAGTCCGAAACCTAGTTGAGCTGTCATCCGAGCGAGTAAGAATCGCCGCATCGTGCCGAGACAATCGAGAAGATTTTGAAGACTCTTAACCTGTCGGAACGTCATCCTACACCCGAGGGGGAATACTGTGTCCAGGAGACCAAGCTGCTTCCATGAAAGTGGGAGACCTCGAAGACCTCTGACTCATTGATACAAGCTTTTGCAGTTCGGAGGGTGTTACAGTGTTACACTGAAGACACAAGGAGTCTCTGTGCTCAGCCGAGGGATGCAGCGACCAATCAGTCCTCACACAGGACCCTGAGGTTCGCTACCACGCTACAGCCACGGCGCTGAAGATTTCTTCGAGGAAGGTGGGCAGTGTGTGTCGAGATTTTAGGCATGGTCCCCTCAATGAAAGCAGCATACAACTGAACCAATACAAGAATCCAAGCAAAATAACCAAGCATGTTCTGGATTCCATTGAGGACATTGTTTCCAAGTACTTGGGCACAACTGTTAATTAGACTGTGACATTTCGATGGATCGTTGATCACCGCGAGACGTCTCACATTCATCTCCTGCTGGTCTCACACGACTGAAGCAATGCCGTAGAAGCTTTAGGAGCTGCGTACGGTTTCTAGTTTCCAACTCCAGAAACTGAAGGAGGTGCGCCAAAGCCTGTAGAAGCCTCAAACCAATATACTAAAGTAAGGGTTGCTTTGATGCCTGGCAACATGTCATGTGGACTCACAAAGGGTCGCAAACACCGGATACTGGAGAACAACACACACTCATCTACATACTAGATACAATGTACCACATCCAAGCCTGCAACACCATGTGGGCAAACAAAAATACATAGAACAAAGAAATGAGAAGCAAACCTGTTTCCCGTTGTTTTTGTGAATCAAGCAAGCTGAATGATGGATTAGCTTGGGCGCTAGCTTGGGCGCATTGACTTGCATCCGTTTCTGTAGCGCCACAAGGCGGTGAAGAAACATAAGCCGAAGATCTATTTGTTTTTGAAGGGTCTGGCTCAAGTGCAGCTGGGCCCCCACACACTATGAATAGAGCAAACTTCCTCACCTTCCAAAGCTTGTAGAATCTTTTGCATTCACAAGGCCTAAGGATGGCCTCATAAGGCCCAATGAGTAAAAATCGTTCAACCACCCTTTGAGCCAAATTGAGCCATACCACACCTCCTGCGGGCCTTCAAGTACCCGGCCCTGTGCTCCCGCCAAAACCCACGCGGCTCAGTAGACGCGCTTGGCGGGAGGAACATGGTGCATCTCCTCAAGGGGCGAGGAAGTTCAACATGCCTCCACCTGGTTCCAGGCGGTTGATACCGTTATTTGGCCAATGCCTAGCTCAAAGCCCTGTCAATCGCTGCGGATCAGAACGGGGTGCCCTGTGAGTACACTTGTGCATATGTTTGCTTAGGGTGTTGCGTTTTGGCTGCTGCTTTTGTATGGGTTTTGCGTTGCTTGGATGCCTTGTACTAGCCCAAGACTGGCCAGAAAATCAAAGAAATTCCAAACGTACAAGCATCCGCAAGTTCCAACAATCAAAGTATGTTTTGTGTTAGAGTTTCAGATGTTTTGAATGTGCTGTTGGTATTTGTTGCGTGTTAACAAGTTGTTTGTTTCATATATACTATTTTTGGTGGTGTTCTTGTTTTTGGACCTCTCTGGCAAACTAAATGGTGAAAAAAAACCCTGTTAAAACCAAAGAGTATAGGTGGTTCTATCATTAATTATGATCTCCGATAAATAGATCTCTGGTGAACTATATAGATGTTAAACTAGAACTGGACCTCTGGCGACGCAAATCTCTGGTGAAGTAGACCTCTGGTGAAGTAGATCTCTTCTAAACTAAAGCTCTCGCAAAGTAGATGTTTGGTGAGGTAGGTGGCAGCCACACTAGATGGTGCAGTAGACCTCTGCTAAACCAAATGGTTCACTAGAACTCTGGTAAGCTGGATCTTGGTTGACTAGACTGGACCATTCATGACCATTCTGGTTTCAGATTATTTAAATAGATCTCCCGCGAACTGGATCCTTGGTGAGACAAATCTCTTTAGAAGTTTGGCGAGGTATATGATGGTGACATTTCTGGTATATAAACAAGACTGCTTTCACTAGGGCCCTGACAAACCAAATGGATCCAAATGGTAAGCCTGACTCACCCTGATCTCTGGTAAACTGGGTCTCTGACAAACCAGTGGGCAACGCCGGAGTGATGAACTGTGACATCTTTTACCCACAAAGGCAGTTGAGAAACTCAGACTCGGAGAGGAGCGAGGCTGAAGGATGTCAACAGGGGTCTTAGCGTCAGAGCCCAGATCCAAGGTGAATCAAAGACTCTTTTACTCCAAACATCACATCGAACGAAGTTTCCCTGGATCCTCCTTGCGACTGATTCCACCATCACCGGCTGGTGGAACGGGCCACGTTGGGTGCCGCACCTAGGTGGGGTGACTTGACTGCTGGGTCTTAACCATCGCACCTGGACCGGACCTGGCTCCGGACCTGGGGCTGGTCTCGTCACGAGTCGGGTCTCCTTGTCCAAGGGCTGGTCGATGACCCTGCGATACTTCAGGACCACTTTGGCATCCTCCACGTGAGGTTTGTCGAGCCACGAGAGTGTGTGCTTCATCCAGTTCTCGTCGTCGCCTTGGGTGGGACAGGAGACGCTGCGGCGCAACCGGGAGGGCACCAGGGAGGGCACTCCGGGAGGCAACGCTGGAAGTTCGGTCCGGACAGCAAACTAGAACCACATTGGAGCTAAGAAAACGACATCGGTCAAGCACTCAGCTCAAAACATCTCAAAACAATCCAAAGAATCATGTGGGGGATCGGGTAAGCAAAAATACCATGTCTTCGGCTTGCCGATTCAACAGCCTCTAATTGTTCTGACCTAAACTTTGGACATTCACCTGTCTGTATTGCTCCTCGTGAGGAACCAACCGATGTACTCCTCACCACACCTCGTGGCCAAGAATCGGTCCGGGAAGTTCTCATGTGCATGGGCGCCCCGCGACTCCTTGCGAGCCTCGGCCGCATACATCTCCTGTGCCGCCTGGACCGGGAGCAAACCAAAACACCGCCGTGCAGAGCGGCTAGGCGGTTTTTGGCAAAGCGAAGGAGGAGTTGGACCCCCTAGAAAACATCGTTCATGGGCGAATTCCGGTTAAAGATGTTAAAGGCGGTTGGACATCCTGAAGCATCTGAGGCATCGTCTCATTTTGGGGGGGGCTGGCTGGGCCCTCTGCTGTTTTGGACTTTTGAACGGTTTTAAGTTGAAGCTTAAGGGTTGAGTTTTAATGGCACAAAAGCTCAGGCATCCAAGGCAAAAGGTCAAAGCTCAGGCATCCAAGGCAAAAGGTCTCCTGCGATTAGTATATATATATATATACACTATATTTATAGATATATTTGTATATTTAAGATCTTTATAGTGTGTTTGTCCTGCAACTCTTGGTTCCAATGACAACAACGCACACTGACATGGAGCACACAACAACTCCGTACTTATCAATCAACCGCACAAGAATACAAAATATACAACACAAAAAGTTGAAGTCACTTAACAGTTGACACACATATACAAACATGTTATTTTCCAGTGCAAGGAAGATGAGACAGGAAGGGCAACTTAATGACTCAGTGACTAAGACCCTACAGGACCTACAGGACCCCTGTAGGGCCCCAGTGGGGCCACTTCAAACATGTCTCAGATGCGAAGCGAGGAGGCGAGGAGACTCTGCTGCAGGAAGCAAGGGGTGTTTCAAACCGGAAGCATCGGACCTGGTTGATGAGGTTTTCAAGCTCCAAGGTCTCAATGAGGTCTGTGTTCCTGAGTCCGACTGCTCGGGCCAACAAAAATTGCGAAACCATTCGCGCGGCCACGTGGCCTGAATCCATGTGTACTTGGAGAACTGCAAGCTGCAAGCCCCAACAACCCTACAGTATCTGGTCAAGCTTTTGTTCAGAGGACCTATCCAGGATCAGTTTGGGCTGAGCTGGCTCCTGGTCGACGTCAAGTTTTTTTCTCCTGCCCCCGACGCCCAAAGGAGTGTCACATTCTGGCTGGACCCTGGCGGACACCCCAAAATGCATCAAACAACCAATTATACCAGCGTAGACCCCAAACAGGGCAATGTTCAAAAATGAGATCTCCGAACAATATGGCCAGCAGTATATACTAGAGGAAGAAACTGTAGCCCACCATGTAGACGCACATACAAGATTCAAAGGGAAAGCATTAAAATTCTGTTTTTCATTGACTTTACATTGGGACGCCGTACAAGGGCTAAAACATGAAATTTATGGATCCAGGTTGTGACATATGTTGCCCCCCCTTGTAAACACGAATGCGCAGACCCAATCAAAATGAAGATTTCCTCAGAGCACGACTACGCTTGGCTTTTTCCTTCCTACGCAGTTGCCTTCTTTGGCTTGGCTTACTGGGAGCCAAGTCGAGACATGTGGGAGACAAGTGTGAAATCATGCGGCCAGAGCACTCAGAGCATCCAGAGCTTACCGGGAGACAAATGGCAGACAAGTGTGAAATGATGCGGCCAGAGCACTAGAGCGTCCAGAGCTTACTGGGAGACAAGTGGGAGACAAGTCTGAAATCATGCGGCCAGAGCTCTCAGAGCATCCAGAGCTTACTGGGAGACAAGTGGGAGACAAATGGGAGACAAATGGAAGACAAGTATGAAATCATGCGGCCAGAGCACTGAGAGCATCCAGAGCTTACTGGGAGACAAGTGGGAGACAAATGGGA